CAAAATGAGAACTCTATAACTACAAGAAAAAGTTAACTCTATTCATTAGTTGACTATTATTGGCAGAAAATGAGGCAGACTGTTGGGTTGATGAACTCTTTGTGTCTTATAAAATTTATAAGAAACTTTAAAGAGCTCATCAAAGCCCAGAACGTGTAGTTTACACAAACTACATTTAATGCAGATTGTGTAAACTACACGTTTTGGGCTTAGCCTCCTGTTCAACATAACAACTGAGGGCTAACACTAAAACATCTAGTTTACATGAACTATTGATTTGACACTTTAAAGAGCTTTTCCAGCCTTGAATTACTTTTTCATCATATTGTCACGCACCTTATGAGCTTTTTGCCCACTTCTACTGATAGAGCTAGAGGTGCTAGTTCATGATACAGTTTGGTTCTGAACCCATACTAAAACAATCACACTATTCACCTTGTTTTCTATGAACAACAGTCAAATGAGCTGCATCCTCTTGACTACTCACAAATAGAAAACTTGAGCCCATGCCAGTTATATTCAGTTGTGAACAGCAGCTGGGGTTACATTAATGTTTCCATTAGGAAGGCAATTGGTTTTTCACAGGCAGGCAAAACTTTTTAAACTGAAGTTCTTTATAAGAAAAACTTCATTAGATGGTCAAACCAGGTAGAAAAAAAATCATCCTCACAGCCAGTCAACTAGCCTGGTGCAGGACTGGTTCTTTTGGAAACACCTGGTGCAGTGGTATACACAAGTAGTGTAGGAACTTGCTCACTACTCACTAACCTGTCCGTACAAAGTGTGAAGCAGAGAGTGGCCTGTTCTGTCAGCAACAGCACAACATCTGTGTGCCTGACCACCCTTGCCATAATTGTAACTCTGACCACCAAATGCACGTTGATAAATTTCACCTTTCTCTGTGCGACTGAATGGCATTCCATAATTTTCAAGCTGCAATGAACAACCATGATAACACTCAAAAACAAATATATATTACTGGTTTCCTCCCTATGGGGTAAGGAACAATGATATCTTTGTTACATATTTGCTTTCTGTGACTCTTGTAGAGTACATTTCTCTGAAGAAGACAGCAGAAGGTGGTCAAAAATTCAGTTTTAACATTTTTTTAGATCTGTTTTACTCCTTCTTTAGAACTTTAATCATGGGCACAAATCGCTCCTGACCAACAGTTTTAAATATAATGACCTAACATTATTATTTGATATATTGCTCCTAATGGCTTACCCATACAGTAATTTGATTTATACACAATGTCTCTGTGGACATTACAGTGTATGATAGAACCTGTTCACAAAATTAATACTGGGCACACATATCATGAGGTAACACTGGTGACTGGATTGTAAGGACAGTAGACATGGCTTTTAATCAGCTACAGTAATAGTGAATTTGGGTGCAGAAAGGTAGTTGAGTACAGACCTCAATCACTGACTTGGGTGCCTCTTCAGTCATGTAGTGAATAGCATCCTGATCACCTAGCCAATCACTGCCTTTCACTGTGTCATACCTACAAACGTGAAGCACAAAGTAACAACCTTTTAAGTTTAACAATCAGTAAGGATTGTGTTACATTGACTTTGGAGACACCAACACATTGCCAGAAAATATCCATACTCCCCCTACCTCCCCAGAAGGGATTGGAATTTCCTTGGGGGTGGGGGGTTCCATAAGACCAAAACATTTAAAGAAATGTACGAGGCTCGATTGGAATTGCCAAAGGGGTGTGGTAGGGGTAAGGGTGCTTAGAAAAAATCCCTTCCATGAGGGAGGTATGGATAATTTCTGGAACTACACATTATGAGAGCTTACAAGTATGCAGACTTTTAGTTAGATGGGTCTCCAAGC